GGAGGCTGAGGCAGGAGAATCACTTGAACCTGGGAGGTGGAGGTTGCAGTGAGCGGAGGTCGCACCACTGCACTCCAGCCTGGGCAACAGAAATAATAATAAAAAAAAAAAAAAAAAAAAAAAGAAATAAAAGTTCCCACAGTGCCATGAAATGCAAATGCCAGTGCACTGGGGCAGTATGCTGCAGGTGGGAGCTTGCAGGCCTATGAGCTGAAATGTTCATCGCAGCCTGGGCAGCCCCTCCAGGCCCGCAGCACAGGTCACCTGCTATACTGACCATAAAAATGACCATGGCTCCTACACCAAACCTCCTCAGTGTTGCCAGAGAAAGCATTTCTTTTAAGCCTCTTTCCCTCCATTAAAAAATAAAACAACAGCAAACTCTTCAGGCAATTACAACATAGGATGGATCTAAAATACCAAACTGATGTGTCTGCCTTATTCACCATTACTCAAAACAGATCTGCAGGGAGAGCATACGCTGCTGCAGCTAACGTGGGCTGGCTTCTTTATGTCATGCACAAAGACCCGGCTGGTGGCCTGACCCAGTGTGGGTCACTGGGGAGTCAACTGACATCATGACAATAACCACAATAAATGTAACAATGCTTGTTATTATTACAATAGTCACAATAGCTGCCGCTTATTAGCACCGACCTAAGCCAACCCAGGGCTAGGCACCTCTGACACGTCATTTTCCTTAATCTGTTCATACCTTGAGAAAAGCAGTGTCATCATCCTTATTTTAAAGAGTAAACTAAGGTTTACAGAGGCTACATAACTCTCCAAGATGTGAAAGCTAGTAAGAGCTAGCGCAGCGGGGATTTAAACACAAATTCAAATCTCTAACCACCAAACCTGTTTCTCCAGGTGCCTGTAGACTAAGGAGGTTGGCTTGAGCAATTCCACCCTCCTTGCACCAAATAACCTCCAGCCCAAACGGATTGTGCTGGACGGAGAGTCACAACGAACATATGTCCAGTTCAGGACCATCTGGTGTCAGTGGCAGGGCGCCAATTCCCAGACGAGACAAAAACTCTCATTTCTTTGGGTTTGGGATTGGATGGGGTTTTTGTGACATGGCTGTATGGCTGTCAGTTTCCTGATTTGTGTTCCTTTAAGGATAGCACAACTATTGGTGCAGGATGTGTATACGAGGAAGGCAGTCTGGGTTCACTGGCCAAGGGCAAACCACACGAGCACTGTGCAGGCATAACACATTTTAGTTTTTGCAGAGTACACTGGAGGGTGTGACCCTGGGTCTCTCCACAGTCCTGGACTCTTGGCGGGGCAGGCTCAGTGCCATGTATGTTGCCAGAGGAAAGTGAGCCCTCGAAGAAGCAGAATTCCTGCCTATGTATTAAGCTATGGGGTTCACCTCCCACAATTCCAGATGAGAGTATGCCTAACATTTAAAAAATAATTTTGCTGTGATTGGAATTGCTACACTTGGAAGTGGAAGCAGGGCCCCCAGCGTCCCCCTGGCTTCCCAGGCAGCTCCTCCATGGGGCTGGCGGTTGTCAATGTCTTTTCACACAAGCAGCTGCCTGCGTCTCTGTAAGGCAGGAAGGAAGCAGGAAGGAGACACAGGTGATCCGGGACACCCTGCATTCTCTCCTTAGAGGCCTGCAGGACACAGGCAGCTCCTCTGGCATCTGAGATCAGCGTTTCCTAAAGCTGATGGTGAGAAGGTGTTTTTCATCTCAGCCACCTCCAGGTAACAGCAGCCCCTTTTGTACGTCTCAGAGCATGTTCTGTACGTCTCAGGGCATGTTCTGTACGTCTCAGGGCATGTTCTGTAAGTCTCAGGGCATGTTCTGTAAGTCTCAGAGCATGTTCTGTACGTCTCACGGCATGTTCTGTACGTCTCACGGCATGTTCTGTACGTCTCAGGGCATGTCTTGTACGTCTCACAGCATGTTCTGTAAGTCTCAGAGCATGTTCTGTAAGTCTCAGAGCATGTGAATTCTGACCTGCAAAACCCTCCTTGCACCATTTCCCCGGCCTAGAACACTCTCTTCCCCAAGTCCTCCTCTGGCTTTGAACATAGCTCAGTTACTCCTCGGATACTCCAGACCACAGCAAGTGCACAGTAATCTCTCTGAATGTCTGTGGCATTCACTAACTGTATTATTCATGTGGTGCAAGTATGTGTTACCTGTTGTCTGTTACTATTTGCATCACAGCTCCCCGAGTAGACAGCACATTTCTTCAGGGTAGGCAGTATGACTTATTTACCTTATGTTCCAATGTTTAGTACAGGATTTGGTACACAGTAGGTGCTGAATGAATGTCTGTGGGTGCAAATAACGATGCTGCCATTTTCTTGATATCAGGTAAGAAAATTAAAGAAATACTAACCTGCAATGACAGCCGCAGTTTTTCAAAATTTTCTTCCAATTCTTTCTTTTCAAGCTCATGAGTGGACATCAATTCTGGAAAGAGGACATGAAACTGTTAAGTTGGTCTTCGTTTTGAAAAGGATACAACAAGGCTCTTTTGGCAGACTAAGACCCGTGACTTCAGGTAAATCAATGACTCCCGGATAGCAGATTCAAGCCTACGGGGACTCCTCCACTGGTTTGAAATTGTATGTGATGAACGGGTTAGTATTTAGGAGAGAGAAAGAAAGAAGGGACTGGGGAAAGGGAGGGAAAAAGAGAAGATGGGGGCAGAGAGAGCACATATGAACACACACAGCACACACTACACACACACGTCACACACCCATCACATACACACACACACCTACCCCACACATCACACACACACCACACGCCACACACACATCTACCACACACATCACATACACACACACCACACACTACACACACACAATGACACACAATCACATACGCACCACATGCCACACATACACCTACCACACACACATCACACACACACCACATGCCACACACACACATACACACCTACCACACACATCACATACACACCACATGCCCCCCCCACACACCTACCACACACATCACATACACACACTACCTACAAGAGCACATACAATACACACCTTCCACATACATCACATACACATACCACATGCACACACACCCCACACACACCACACACAATCGCAAACACACACTACATGCCACACACACATACACACCAATCACATACACTATATGCCACAAACATATGCACACCTATCACGCACACCCCTGCACACACTCCCCCACATACATATACCACACACATCCCCCACACATACCACACACATCATGCCCCCCACACCCCCACATACATACACTGCACACATTCCACATACACATACATACTACATACAAACCTCCATCACACACCCACTACACACACACCACACACATTCCTCCACACCCCCACATATATACACTACACACACCACACACACATATATCACATACACACCTACCCCACACACATATATACAACACACACATGCATAACACACCCACACACACCGATCACATCCTCATAGCCTGCCACGCTCGCACACCTCCAAATCCATACACATTTACACAAAGACACACATGCCCTCCCCCACATCCTTACAGCACTCACACCTTTGTAACACATACCCACCCCCCCACACCATACACCACATACACACACCACACACCACACACTCCCCATAAACACATCACACATATATACACACATGCACACTCACACACTGCACACACTATAAACACCTGCTCACATACCACACACACACATCCACATCCCCCCATACCTCCCACCACACACACACACACCTGCATCCCCCCATACCTCCCACC